CCCGGGTTCTCTCACCACAAAACTCCCCTAAACGTTCTCACTTCCTGGGGCCAAATGGCCTCAGAGAGGTCCCCTTTGTCCCTGTCTCTTGGTGTTCTTGTGAAAAGCGAGGCCTCTTCTCTGGGTTAACACTGCCTCCCGCTTATCTGTCTCGTCTCTTTCCTTGTGATCGCTCTTGCTCTCCTTCCTTATTTCTTTATGCTGTCCCCCTCCTTTCCCGGTTTCCCTCTCCTCCTCCTCCTCTCCTGCTGCCTGGCTGTTCCCAGCTGGTCCTGGAGACATACAATGTCCCAGAACTGTCAGCTGGCGTCAACTGTACCTTTGAGGACCTGTCAGAGATGGATGGGCTGGTGGTGGGCAACCAGATCCAGTGCTACTCCCCTGCAGCCACAGAGGTGCCCCGGATCGTCACGGAGAACGGTGAGCAGGCACAGCAGGCAAGCCCAGGAGGCACATCCTTCCCTGGGCTGGATGAGGAGAACTCAAGACAGATGTGGGGGATGAGGGAGACTTCGGGCAGCAAGCCCAAAGGAAGGGGCGTGGGTTGGCAGGTGCCTTACCTGAAGAGGGGATGTGATTTCCCTCCACTGCCATTGAGATTGACTGTTGCCGCCCTCCAGCCCAGCCCCAGTTCTGCATCCAAGTGTCCACCTCCTCCTGGGTGCGGAGCAGCTACAGAAAGAGTGGGGTTGGGCAGACCAGCAGCAAAGCACACAGCCAAGTTCAGCCCAGTAGGGCTGGCCTAGCCCATGGTAGAGGAGGGAGGCAGGTCAGGACAGGGAAGCCACACAACCAGGTCTCGGACAGGCCTTTACCCACCTCACCCTCGCCTGTCTCCCCAGAGCTGCCTGTTGGTGGTGGCCATCTGCCCTGGGGAAGATAGGAGGGGACAGAGGTTTGACGATAGCAAGGGACAGCCTAGCCTGGGCAGATTGATCACATGTTGTCCCTCCTATGTGGGCTTGTCACATTTGTTCAGAGCTGATTGATTAATGAGGCTCTCAGGGATGGCAGAGAACAGGGCTGGAAGTGGGGGCCTGAGGTCAGGGCTGTGAATTAAACATGGGCTTCAGCTCCTCCCTGGCGCCAGCTGGGGGTTCCAGGGTCTCTCACCTCAGTGGAACCCTGAGGCCCCCAGAGGAGAGGACAGCAGAACAGGGTCTGTCTTTACAGAGACGGGGAATGGGCTCATGTGTACACACAAACACATATGTGCAAAACCACGTATGCGGTTTGTGGCAGCATTATTCTGAGTCTGCATGTCTATTTCTTCCTAGTTATGAACCAGTGTGTGTGTGTGTGATTCTGTGAGACTGACAAGGACATTCTATGTATGAATGCATATTTGTATACCCGTCAAGTGAGTGTACATGTGTGTGTATTTGTGCGCACACGTGCATATGCATGTGTGTGTGTACACGATCATGAGAGAGATGAGGGGTTGGGGGTGGCAAGTGACACAGCGTGGCAGGAATAGGCTGAACCACCCTCTGTGACTGCCCTTGGGGTTGCCCTGGCAGCTGTGGTACAGCTAAGAGCCCCAGGGAGCAGGCTCCCTTCCCAGGTGTATCGCCCCCAAGGGGCTCCTGGCCTGGGCTGTGGCCTCCCCTCCTCTCACTGGCTCCCCTTGCAGGGGACCATCACGTTGTGCAACTGCAGCTCAAATCAAAGGAGACGGGCATGACCTTCGCCAGCACCAGCTTTGTCTTCTACAATTGCAGTGTCCACAATTCGTAAGTGCCCTGGCCTTACTCAACTCCCTGTTCCTGGGATCTGGATTCATTCAGAGATAAGAAGACCGACTACTCTTCCCAAGAGGCTCCATGTGAAGGAAGGGCACAGGCCCTTCCTCTGGTGCTCACAGGTTAATAGGAGGAGAATA